CTGTGTGTTGTTCATCTCAGGTTCATAATGATACTAACTCTTAAGGATATTTACAACTTTTAGGACAGTTGAGTTTCAATGTTTCAACGCATTCATAAATTCTTCATCTCACAGTCTTGCTCTGAAGCAACCCAACGAATCTCCGAGTAATGGGACGCCTCCTCTCTCTAAAGGGGAGGGGACCTTAGCAACATCAATTTCAAAACTCACAGGCCACCGTCCAGGCCTCATCTTAATTCTTTACCTTACCATCATTCAATATGGCACGCATTGCTTCTGCTTCCTCCGCTTGTGGTTTGAATTTAACGTCATTTTCATATACTGCGACTGGAATATAGATTTATGACTATTCTGTATCGATTTTACTTCTTGATATTTGTTTGTTTCTTATGTTTTAAAAAAGAAAACACTTCAATATTGGTAGCCAAACATCTTATAGATTAATTTTTCTCATTAAAATCATAAAATTAAGATGTCGTTGGTGCTTTTTGAAATTATTAATGAAAATTTTAATACTAAATTTAAAACATCCGTATAATTTTATTTAAGATTAAATAATACATTTAAACAAAAAGAATTTTAATTTTAAAATCAATGATGATTCTTCTCACCTTTTATTTTTAATTTTATTCTTAAAATTTTCTTACTCTCAATCTTGTAAAATTTGACTAACTAATTCCTTTGTTTTCAATCGGAATATACTCTTAATTACCTATTCTTATAGCTCTGACCACCACCCAAGGGGGAAAAAACTGATGTCCAGAGCCAGTCTTGTCCTCTAATAATAGTCTCATTTCAATCTCCAATACATAGCAAATAAGTGCATCCAAAAAATTAAAAGAAAATGAAAACCTACAGATCTAGCTTTTACCATAAACAAAACAGAAGGAAATTAAAAGCATAAGACGAAGACAGGGTTGGACAAAATTAAAGGACTCCACCAGGACAAAAACACCAAAAACTAGATTGGTCTTTTGAAATCATGCGTCCTCCCTTGCTTGTATCTATTGCCTCTAACATTCTCACTACCTCGTCCATCTCAGGGCGTTTATCTGGGTCTTCATCCCAACATTTTCGCATGATCCTTGCAAGTGCACTTGGGCAACATCTTGGGATTTCTGGTCGCATGTTCTGTTCCAAAAACAAAACAGTTTCACTCAATGTAAGAGCTAATGATGCGTGGTATAAGCAGAACATTTAGAAAAAGAAAAATTTGCAAACCTGTCGGACAATCCCCGTAAATACATCAGAAATCTTGTGAGTAGGATAAGGCAAGTCACAGCAATATATCTCCCACAAGCAAATCCCAAAACTATACACGTCACATTTCTTATTGTAAGGCTTACCATTAAGCACCTGCCACCAAATAATTGTTCATCATCTGTCTGAAACGTAGAAAACTATGCCCCAACAAACCGAGAATCATAGAATCTCTTGAACCTTATTCGTGAAATGGGCCGTGTTTATTGTAAAATTAAAGCATAATGATGATTCGGTTAGACTATACATCAGATGTTTGCAGAGTAATAAAAGCAGGTTACCTCTGGCGCCATGTACCAAGGGGTGCCAACCCCTCCAGTCATTTCACATGGGTTCTGTGCCTCAATTCGAGCAACACCAAAATCAGCAATTTTTGCAGTTCCATTTGCATCCAACAAAATATTTTCTGTCTTCACATCACGGTGCACAATCTTTTTAGTGTGAAGATAACTCAATCTGAAATTGATCCCAAAAAAACACCATAGCTGGAGTCAAATACGCCTATTATAACCTTACGAGAATTTATCAATTCCTGCTTTCGCAAGAAGCGATAGACTCACCCTCTGGAGAGGTCCAACGCAAGTTGAATGGCAACGTCAAAATCAAGTTTCTTCCTTCTGTTCCCCATCAGAAACTTCTTTAGCGTCCCCCCAGGGACAAACTCAAGAACACAACATGCCTGGGCTGGAATAAATGAATAAACTTCACTTGATACATCTTCAGAAGAAATTTTCACATATGAGTTTCCAATGGAGGCTCCAACAAACTGCATAGAAATGATCCATTTAGTCTCACCATCATCAGGAAACTACATTATTCAAGAACCATGAGTAATGTTAACGGAATACATCTCTCAGACCCCATGCAACTAATCCCACACCTAGTTTTATTTACTTAAGAACTAGAACAATCTATAATAATCTAAGTCAGATACAAAAAAGTAGAACAATCTATAATAATCTCAAACAGATACAAAAAAGTCCATATATTCTAATTCTCTAATTGTGTGATTTCTTGTTCCTCCAAAAGCAGTAGACTAGGAATATGCATACCTTTGTAACATTTGGATGATTAAGTTTATGCCAAGCAGCAACTTCTTGCTGAAATGATGCCCGAATGGCCGCTGCGTCAGTGTCGGTGTCCCTCCAATCAAATACCTTCACTATAAATGATGGGAATCCGTTCCAATGATCAAATAAAGCACAAAATATCAATGTTAAAAAAAGGAAAAAAAACTGAACCAGATCGGCCAGTTCAACCATAAAATTACTAGTCCAATCTAGAATCATGCCAAAAATAAAAAAACTTAGAGCCCATAAAAAGTTGTGAAAGCCGTAAAAGAAATCAGTGAAACACTAATTGATGGTTCGGCCGGTTCATGTTAACGGTACAATTTTATCATAAACTAATTGTGTGCGTGTGTAGTTAAGACTTGCTCAGCGGCGGTTTAATCAAAAAGTGCCCATTAATTCAACGTAGGCGTCCGATAAATATTTGCAAAATACCAAGAGCAAAATCTACTTTGACGTCTATAATAATCCGTTCATGAACGAAAATTAAAAGCCAGATCATTCGACAGAAATATACCAGCAACGTCTAGGCCGTCATAAACGCCACGGTAGACTGTTCCATAGGCTCCGTGATCTATAGCACGCCTTATGTCCAATTTGGAGGAATCAATTTCCCAGTCTTCCTTCTTCTTCCGCGTCGCATCTCTCGACAGAACTTTATTCAAGTGCTTGTCCAGCTGACTATCCCAATCCTTGAAATCAATCTTATCAGCTCTCACACATATCCCCCGATCGTTGAAGCTAGCACTCTTTTCCTTCACGTTTGAACACAAACTCTTCTCTTTCGAGTCAGGTTTTTCTATCGCATCGTCCTTTACGGTGCCATTCAATTTCTCGGCCATGACACCTTTTCCGACCTACGCCCTGAAGCTTGGAAAGCTTGGATTACTTTTAATCTGTGATGGAGGAAATCATGAATTTACGCTCAAAATGGCGAAAGATTCCAAAGAAAAAGTAGAACGAAAAAGTCGGGGGAAGTTTTCGTTGGAATCTAATAACTTACCTCAAAATAAACTAATCAGAGTGGGGTAATCCGAATTTCATTCCTAACAGGCCGTGGTAATTTCTTGATACTAAAATCCGTCGAATTTAATCGGGAAGAACACCTAAAGATAGAGATAAAAACACAGAATCCTTCACCCAGCAATCGTTTCGGACGAATCACAACAGTTACATAAATGAATTTACGTTTTATTTGGTTAGTTATCATCGCCAAGTGTCAATTATAAAAGACCTTAAAAAAAAAAACAGTAAAAGTCAACGCATTAAGAATATCCAATATGCGAGTAGGAGGCGTGATGTATGACCTATGCACGCACGAGGCGTGGTGATGATGGATACGTTTTTCCGCAAGGGTCAGGCTATGCGAATGTGATCGTGGTTTGGACTTTTAATATAAAAATTAATTAACTAATTTAAATTAATTAAGAAAATTTATTTAAAGTAGTTAAATTAGTTATTTATAATAATATGTATTGTGCTTCTTAAAATATCATTGTTAATCAAATGTATTGGTTAAACCACTATTATTATAAGAATTATTTTGAGAAATAATGAATAAATGTGTAAAACAAAATAAATTGGAGTCTTTTATTATCAAAATAAAAATCAAACAAGTTTTTATATTAAAGACTGGAAATAGTATAAGATTAGTGTTAGTATTATACAAATAAATAAAATAATGTTTTGATGAAACAAAAAGATAAAATAACAATATCAAAATATTAAATTTATACAAATAACGATATCAAAAACTTAAAATTATCCACATGCTAATACGGAGTCACATGATAGGACGGTAAATTCCTTTTTCTGTCTTTGCCGCAATAAGCTATCCGTATAAATAATCTTTTATATTAGATTAGATATTGTATTGACAAATATAATAATTAATCATGACATGACACGATGACAGCGGCTATACGCATATAGCATTAGACATTAAACGGATAAAATAATATCAAAATATTAAAATGATCTCACATGCTAATGAGATTTCTCATAGGCTAATATGTAATATCCGGTGTCATGTGTAATATCTGGTGTGATAATGTATCCTTATGAATAAGCCATTATGCCGGATATTGAAAGCCATATCCAATAAATACATTATCTCCAACCCTGGATATTGGATCTAAATAAAAGATTTATTTTAATAATAAATATAAATTTTCAATTTAATTTGTCCCCAATTCATTTTTTTTTTCAAAATATCCGATTGGTTGTGTATGGTAAAATAATTTCCATTCAAAATAGTTATAATATACTATTGTGATTCTTAATGTAAGACTTAATTTAAGAGTTGATATTAGTCTTATATGTAAAACTTCTTTTACATGCTTATCAATTTTTTTCAAATTAATCCTACTGAAATTCCCTCAACAATAATGAAGTAAAAGAAGAAAAAAAGGAAATTAAGAAAAATAATTAACATATTTTAGAATAAAAAAATCATCTTAACTAATTTAACAAATATCCTTAATCTATTCAAATTAATTAATTATGTCTTTCATTAAGGATAGGAGGAATACTTAATTAGAAAGAATATTATGAGAAAAAAACAACAAATTTATTATAAATAATTGAATCTTTTTATTATTCGTAAATAAGTTATCTAATTTTTATATCAAGTAATGAATAAAATAATGATTAATCACACAACAGATATTCGCAATAAATATTACTCCAGCTTAAAAACGTAGCAGCACTGCTGCAGACGATGCATACTTCCGTTCAAGTTATTTTTAACTTTTATTATTAATGCATTGAGGGACTGCCTGTAATAGTACATACATATACCCATTTTGTAACTCGCGGACTGCGGAACAAGCATTCGACACGGTGGACAACGACTTTTCCCATTCTGTTGGAATCAAATTCATCGGCATATAACAGGCATTGTGAAAGCCATATAATTACTTCGCTCTCAATTATCCAGAGAGAAGCCTCCCTTAACAAATGCCTGGTTGGACTTGGAACCAGTTTTCTGTGTATCGATTTATTCATCCTGCCCAACCACAAAAACAAAATGTTGGTAACCATACAAGATCATGAGTGGTAAATATTAACAATGACCTCTGCAGACCACATCCCACACACACACCCCTTATTTCCCCCAGTAAGGCAAGCCAACAAATAAATAAGTTTTACAATTACTTAGGCAAAATAAAACACAGTTGATGTTTGTCTGCACAATTTTCAGAAGAACATCATAGCACATCTCAACATATGTGGCCTCGACTTTGTGGTGATGACAAAGAAAAGAACTTGGGAGAATTCTAAGCAAGGATAAACAGATTTATAAAACCCAATGCAAGTCGTAAAGAGCTTGTAAATAATAAATCATAGAAAAAGAAAATCTCACTGTTAGTGCAGCTTATATGGGATTTTGCAGGTATATAAATTGGTAATTATTATATATGAGTTGAAAAAGGAAAATGTATCTCGCACCTACAAAAGAAAATGAACATCAATAACAAAGAAAAATCGCCTTTCCAGAATGTTTATTGATTCATCCTCACACAATTATGTTCTGTGCCAATCATTTAGTCCGCAGCCAAAGGGAAGAATGGCAAAGGCAATTAACTAACCTTTACATTGAAAAGAATACTGCCATCAGAAACCTGTTCACCAGCCGTAACTCGAAGCCCATTCACGTAGCCAGATGATGGTGCCTTTACGACATGCTAATGAAAGTAAAGAACGGTAAGTTAAAGCTTTATGGATCGCAAAATAAAAAAGAGCCGGTAGCCATTTCCCAAAGTTTTATGAGCAATTGCACAAGCACAAACCTCCATCTTCATTGCTTCTAAAACTAATACAGGCTGCCCCTCCTCTACTTTTGTCTTGTTCTTCACCATAACTTTAACCACCAAGCCAGCCATGGGGGCCACTACAGTACCCCGAGGGTGGGCTGCTGCTTCATATTTGGGCTTATGTTGGGATTCTTCATCCTCAGACAACTCGAGCCCTATTTTTTCTCTGAAATAATGATGATAAGACCCTTGCCACACATGAATATGCCTCATGTGATCCTGCCAAAATTAGAAAAAGCTGGGTAAACCGGTAATGAACTTTCATTTTTGTCAATAATAATGTATACAGAGCACTAAGAATATTTCCACTAATATAACCCATGTACAGTAAATAATGATGCATGTAGAGGAACAAAATTACCTTTAAGTAGACAGCTAGATTAACTTCTTTGTTTACACCATCGGCTTCAACTCTAAAATAATGGTCTCTTAAATATGTTGCTTTGACTTCTAAAGCAGGAGATCCGTCTTCTTCTGTCTGAAAGAATATGATAGCATCTTGAGTCCAAAACGAGAACTTGTGGCACGTGACAATAGAATTGACAAATTATTACTCCGCTATATTTGTGATACCTCTATCAGGCATCTGCCATCAAGTTGACAAGTGACGGTAAGCTTCAAGAGCTTGGAGCTACAGCTATCATAATCATTATCCCACTCAAGTTCCATACTACGCTTAACTTGATGATTGACTCTGAAAGGCGGATAGGCATACCATATAGGGTGTAAGCCGCCATTCCCTGAATATACTAACAAATCTGAATTAGAATGAGATTTCTAGAAATAACTTAGACATATTGCACAAGAATGGGGCAGTTTACCAGGGGGATTCCTTGTCAACATGAAATGCTCTTTTGCAATGAGACATGCAGCAGCCAGGGATGCACTAAGTCTGGCAGCTTCGTATGCTTCTTTTGCTAAAACAGAGTTCCCGGGATCAACAAAAAGATCATCTTTGTACTTATCAATAAAATGAGTCTCCACCTTGCCACTTTCAAAAGCCTGGTGGCAGGCGAGCTTTTGAAGGAAGTTGACATTGGTTGGTAGCCCTGAAACCTGTGGAAAGAAATGTTAGTAGAAGTTAGAGCAATTTTTGAAATTCGGAGTACAAAGAAATAATGATCAATTCAGAATTACACGAGATTTGCCAGAGGGAGGATTGGCTAGATAATAACATATTTTATTTTATTTTATTTTCTTCCTTCCTCAAGTTAAGGGTTGTGACACCACGTCTTCAAGCTCAAGCATCCTACCAAATTAATCCTTCAACCCCATAGCCTTAATTAAGTGTAAGTCATACTCATAAAGGATTTCACTCCAGAAGAAGTTGCACCTTACCGCTAAACTCTACACTTCACAGTGCATAGTAGTGAAAGTATTGTTAAGATCTCAGGATACCTGAAATTTTGACAAACAATCCCTCAGTTTGACCAAAGCTGCAGCACGATTCTCACCCCACACTACAAGCTTGGCGATCATGGGATCATAGTGCATGCTGACAGTGTCGCCTTCCTTGACTCCAGTCTCCACTCGAACTGCCAAAATAGCAGATTTCACACAAGTAAATGAGCGATGCATGACAACAAAAACACCCATAACAACATATTCAGGTTTCACGTTCTTGAACAGGAGAAAATGGGGGTTACATGATTCACCATATAGTAGTTACTTGGCTATCATATTATAAGACTGTAAATGACCTGTGGAGGAGACTGGATTATGATGATAATGATGAAGAACTCCAGTTGCTGGAAGAAACCCCTTCGGAACATTTTCTGCATATATGCGAGCTTCAAAAGAATGACCTGCCAGCAAAACAAGAGATAGTATAAAGCTGAAACATTAAAGTCGTCCCTATAACAATTTTTAGACATAAATATCATAACAAGCGATGTAAATTGAATAAATTTTGACAGCCTTTAATCATAACATAAATATGAGCCCCGTGACATTTTTTCATCAACACTAAGAGTATAGTGGAACTTAGGCAGGCGTCCACTTCCTCTCAGGGAAATAAATAAATAAAAGCCTATGGCAAGCAGTGGGTTTGTATAAGAGAGGGGAAGCAAAACTACCTAGTAAGGGCACTTGTGACTGACTTAATGGAAGAACTTCACCATTGGCGACATGGATTTGCCATTCTACAAGGTCTTGACCAACAATCATCTCTGTGACTGGATGCTCAACCTGAATTAACATGCATTACGTAACAAATCTGTAAACCACATAACTTCAGAAAATAGTGACTCTTAAAAATCATTTAAAGCACCTGAAGACGAGTATTCATCTCCATAAAGTAAAACTGGCCAGAGCTTGTATCAACTATAAACTCCACTGTCCCAGCATTGTAATAATTAACTGCCTTCGGACATCAGAAAGGAACTTGACGTTACACATTAGTATATGTGTAGAACGGGACGAAGATATTAGGAAAACCAAAAAAGTTGCAAGGAAACAGAAGGGGAAAACATTTGTTTCACCTCTTGTCATATCGAAATTAGGTTAGGCATAGCTAAATGCTCTATTTATTATAAAAAAACAAGTCTAACCATTTAGAATGAATAAATCAAAATAAACAAAGCAGAAAAATATAAGCAAATAGTGTGCCAAGAACACTGGTCATTTATGTACATGAAATTTTGAAGGCTAAACACCTTAGCAATAGGCAAGTCACCGAGGAAAATTTAATATGTTGAAGGCAGAGTACTTCACCTTTGCTGCAGAGACAGCAGCTTGACCCAAGTGTATGCGAAAATCAGTAGATACATCTGGCTGCATGACTGAATTCATTATTGAGAGTTCAAAACTAACAAAAATTAAAATGAAATAATCCACATAGAGGACGCAGAAATTAAATCTTACAGCTGGGGCTTCTTCAATTATTTTCTGGTGTCTTCTCTGCACACTACAATCTCTCTCATACAAATGCAGAATATTCCCATGCTTATCCCCAAAAATCTATGATATCGAGTATAGGAGAATTTGCCAGAAACTAAGGTCAAAGAAGCTAGTAAAAGATCCAATAATGACTGATAACCCCAATTTTTCTTCATGATTCACCAACATAAAAGCGTGGAGTTCCAGAAAATTTTTAGAGAAATGAAGGTAAGATCTCAAAATAAACAAAATCATTTGAATCACCTTGCTTTGGAAGAAGCACCAATACAAGAAGGAAAGGAATTTATCACAAAGATTTCATGAGAAAATATAGCAGCACAAATAATAATATGAACAGGAATACCTGGACTTCTATGTGCCTTGGCCGTGTGATGTACTTCTCCAACAGTATTGTGTTTATGCCAAAGGAAGCAGCTGCTTCACGCTGCGCAGCTAAGAAGGACTCAACAAATTCATTTGGAGTGTGCACAATCCTCATGCCCTGAAATATTAATATTGTCAAAATTTCATCCGAATGAAATTGTAATCTAACGAATGAGTCAATGATCAAGAAAAATTTTGTATGTCTTTCATAACCTTTTCACTATCTAAAAAGAATTGTGATTCTTAAAATTTTCAGCCTTTTAATAGTTTAGGAACCTCAGAGTAATTACAAATCATAATTATGGTTGTTTTATGTTATCTTTTTAATATGAGAGTGAATTAATAACTCAGAATGATAAACATTTATCAACAGCCATAGAACTCGCTAAAACATCCATCCACATATCATCACAAATGCACTAAGGATCATGAAGTGTGATAAATTGAATAAGAATAATATCAGGAAACATGCACCTTTCCTCCGCCTCCATGGGTTGGCTTTATTAAGATAGGATACCCAATTTTGTCAGCTTCCAACTTCATTTTATCAATATCTTGTTCATTTCCATGATATCCGGGAACAAGTGGTACCCCTGCTGCCCCCATTATCCTCTTTGATGCACTGATGGATACATAGATACAGTGATAAGTTGAAAAGGCGTTTTATAATATATCTCAGGCTTACACAAATCACAGTGTAAGCATGCTAATCATTGAGAGGGAAAATGATCCAAACTTGTCACGCTGACTCCAAGTATTCACAATCAAGTAGAGGTATACTTGAAAAGTTGGATATATAATAGAGAAAAACGGCAGTTTCATGATATTCCGAAGATAATTCCCACCCACCCCTATCTCTGTCACAGAATAGAGAATGCTTAGCTGGTTGGAACCTTCAAATCTAACATTTATTAGCAGGTTCAGGTTTACAAAGAAGAGGATTATTTAAGCCAAATGAAATATGCCAATGTATCCTTCACAAAGTTGGGTGTTCTATGTGGAATGCTTATCATGAACAGCGCATGCATAGTTCAATAAATTACAGCTTAAAACTATTTTAGTAACTTCCAAGTTCCGACCTCTAGACTTTAGTAAGGTGCTCCTTACGCATTTGAAAGTTAAAAACAGAACTTAAAATAGGGGAAGCTGATATTAAAATAAGGGAACGAATGAAAATAAGGCAGCCAGCAGTCTGTCATACTCGTACCTTTTGTCACCCATATCCCGGATGGCAGATGCTGGAGGGCCAATAAACGTAACACCCTTATCTTCGCATAGCTGGGCAAAATCAGCACTTTCGGATAGGAAACCATATCCAGGGTGGATAGCCTAATTACCAAAAGAAAAAGTTCATTCTGAATAGGATGTCCAAAGTTCTATGCAATCGTTATCTATGAGTACTAGAAACATGGAGTTTGACACTATAGTCTCACAGACAAAGCACACATTACAAAGTCATATAAAATACAAAGTCGTCGACCTCTTTTGTGAGTCGTACACCAAAAACAACTCCCAGTGTCCCAGGCGAAAAGCCTGTCTTTATATGGAAAGCAATCTTAAGTATACAATTACATCGAGCGCCACACAAGTTGAGACAGTGTATCACCTCAAAATCACCTTGAGGGTAAATACAGGATCTTTGTTGCTTAGAGATCCTATATGACATCAATCGGTTAAGATCACGCCACATAATTAGAAAATTAGCAGGTCAACGGAATTGCCAAGTTGACCAATATCAGAGTGGCGTCGCTGCGTTTGGCTTACGAATGCAAAGAAAGGGTGATTATTTATTTTTCACACCCAAAACAGCAAGCATAATAAGCAGGTGAAAATCTAATTAAATAATAGAGTGAAAGTTCCAGCTAACCAATGATCCTGTTACATTGTTTCTTTTCTCCACTGACAGTCTCTAATGTCTAACAAACAAAGAAATGGTTCCAGGGCTCACCTGAGCACCAGTACGTATGGCAGCATCAACAATGGAGAGTCCATTCAAGTAACTGAACCGAGCCGGGGGTGGGCCAATCCGTATGGCTTCATCGGCAGATCGGACGTGGAGCGAGTCCTTATCAGCGTCACTGTAAATAGCAACAGTCCGAATGCCAAGCCTCTTCGCAGTCCTCATGATCCTGCAAGCAATTTCGCCTCTGTTGGCTATCAGAATTTTCTCAATCTGCTGTTGAGCGGCTTTCTCCCCTGCTGAGGACAGCTGGCAGAACGCTCGAGCGCGGACATTGAAGGGTCTAGTAGTGAACTTTCTACGGAGAATGATGAGAGAAGCCATGGAAATCATGGTTTAGAGCCAGAGCTCCGAGAGTTGAGCTTGACAAGCTGAAGATCGGGCAGAAAGGGAAGAAAAGAACGAGGGAAGGCGTTTTGGTCATTTGACATATCCCTGCCTGATTGCAATGAAATGCGTGCTATGCTCAAAACTCTCCCTCCATGCTTTTTTTTTCCTATTAAGATTTAAATATCATCCATATATATTTAATTATTTATTACTCTATCATTTAATATTATTCATACTGAATTGCAACTTTTATAATAATTATAAAATAAACAGTATATTTAATTTAATGTGACAATTGATAATTTTATACTATTAAATTAAATAAATAAATAATATTACTTCTGATTTTATTTATAAGATCTTATTTATAAATTGTAAATAAAATTTTATAAATAAGACCGGATTAAGTAATGGAGACGTGTGGGAAGAAATCCAAATCCAAATCCAAATCAGGCAGACAATGTATTGGAGTGGGCAGCCTTAGTTGGACATCGTGCCATCTTGCTTAGTCAGCATACAGACAAGAGCCTAGTCAGTAGTAATCCGGTTGATGTTTTTATATTACATTATCCATTTGGAATGGGCCTCATGCTCTCTTAGCGGTCTTATTAGGCCCCTTGATGCGGCTTTCTCCAACACCTTACGGACTTTATTGTTTTTATTTTTTTTGGGGGGGGGGTGGTGTTTATAATTTGTTCGGACAAATTCATTTTATGTTTTTTTTAACATACATATATCCACACTCTCATCCTTTAATTAAAAAAATACAAAATATATAAATTCACATCATTTGATTCATGTGGTTTGGCATCAATCATCCTGAAATATCTGTTACATAAAGTAAGTCACACCATATTTACTTTTTATAACACTACTTTCAGTACTTAATATAAGATATTTAATTTAAGTAGATTAAAAAATTAATTAAATTAGTTATGTAATACATATGAATTAATTTTTTTTAAATATATTTTTAAATTATGAGCCGCCTTAGATGGAAACTTCTTAGGAATACTTTAGAAAATAAATCACAAATTTAAAAAACAAAGTGGATTGAGATCTTATATTTAGAATTAAATCTAATTAATAGCTAGCTCTTATATTAAGTACAAGAGGTAATATAAAGTACCAAATACTTGTACTATTAAAAAAAGTACTCTTAATTATATTTTAGAAATATTTGTAGTCAAGTTTTGTGAATAATGTTTATACTTGTATTCTTGCCTTTACATCTTCTTATTACAAAGGAGGGGGTGTACCAACAAAAAGTTGGTCTAGCAATGTAAGACCCCCTTAAATCTTTTTGGGCTTAGAGTTTCTGCTTTAGAGTGGACATTTTTGTAGGGAAAAAAAGTCACCAACCTCAAACCGAATTAATCAGCTCATAATAGGGGAAAAAAAATAAAAGAGGGGGCGTAATAATAAAACACGAATGGCTAGAGACTTGAAATATGCTTATTATATACTCTTTCGGTCCTAAAAATAAAACCCTTATTTTTAGGACAGAAGGAGTACTCAATAGAAAATCCACCATGGTTGTTTGATTCAATAGCTGGGGGAATACCAAATTCTGTTTTTCTGACCCATATCCTCACATAAATTTGTGCTGGCAGGCGCAAGAACACAGGCCAACGCAAAAGCAATCGTTGTTGCAGAAATTGCCAACTGCTTTCCTTTTAAATAAATAGGCTACCATAAGTATGATACACAAGATTCAGTAGCTTATGATCATTCATTTTCTCCATCTTACTATGCCTCTAAATCCTCTGTGGGCATGATTTTACTTGCTCATATTCAACAAACTAGACGAAACCCTTCAGCTTTGAGAGGTCTCCAAAATGCTTTAATAAATTCATGGCTTAGACATTGTTCCAAGCTTCTGTTTCATCTTTCCCAGAATGAGGTTTGCATGTTTGAAGCATGTAGTTGCATGCTCTGACAGCTTCTTCAACTGTCAGAAATACCCATTTCTGACCTATAGTCTCGATGAACTTGGCTTTGTTGAGCTTCTTCATCACCTCACTTCCAGGATTGACCAAAACAAGCTGAGCACACGGGAAACAAGGATTAAACGAAATTAATCGAGCATCCTAAAAGTTTAAATATATTGCTGCAGCATAGTTTCCAGGTGGCACTGAAGAGAAAGGCTTACCTGCAGCCCTCTCCTATCGGTGATCTTCTTCACCTCTTCAAGCATGCTTATTCCGCTTGTATCAATGTTCCCAATGGCTGCCATTGTAGATTATTCAGCAAGTTAGACTGGGAAACCTGCTCATTTAATTTTATATGCTTACTCAATTCTCTGGTCCATCACTTACTAGTCATATCTAGAATTACACTCTGCAAGTTGGTTTCCCCTGTAGCTTTAATCCTGTCTTCCTCTTCATCAATCCACCTCGCAATCCTACAACATATATACCCTCTGGTAAATCACCCAACTTGATGAAATGCCTTGGTTGTGTAATATACAAAATAAAATCTGAGGTAAAGAGAGCACCTCTCTCTCAAATAACTGGCATTGGCAAAGTAAATTGGTGAATCAATCTCTAGAATTAGTATCCCAGGAACATGAGTGGCATTTTGGTACTGCTCAACATTTCTGTACACCACAGAATTTGGAATGTTGCCCAAAACAAACGTCCTTGGCCTTGCAACAAACAGCAGAACCCTAAGCACAGATATGAATACCTGCATATGTATGTGCAGAGAAGTGCATACCCATCAGTATAAAAATAGTTAAACACAAGACTTCATCAAGGGTGTGTGTGGGATGGGGAGTACAGTGAACAGTAGTGATACTTACGGCTATGACAAGGCCAATTTCGACACTGCCAAAGACAACACCAACATAAGCACTGATACATACAAGGAAGTCGAACTTGTCAATCTTCAAGAGATGTATGGCTGCCTGATAATCTATAAGGCCCAGCATTGCTGATACAATGATGGCCGAGAGCACCACCAATGGAGTGTAATAGAATAAAGGTGTCAGGAATAACAATGTCATCATCACAGCAATTGCCATCACAATGTTTGATACTGCTGTCTTGCATCCCGCATTGTAGTTTACAGCCGACCGGGAAAATGGCCCTGACCCACATTCAGATTTCAAAGCCGAAAATTCGTTATTAACAGTTGATGATGAAGTAAAGATAGAGCTACAAAACTCAAAGAACAAACACCTGTAGTGAGGTAACAGGAGGTGAGGGAACCAACTATGTTCATGGTCCCAAAAGCTATCATCTCTTTGTTGCCATCAATGTGGTAGTTCTTGAACATTGCAAAGCTTCTTCCAACTGCTATTCCTTCCTGCACAGTCATTTCTATTAGATCGTGCCTCTGGTTTACAATCCTCATCATTAACTCACAGTTAGTTAACATCTACTGGAAAAATAGGAGCTAATTTTGAATACTTACGGCGAGGGCTATGATGCCGGTGACAAGTCCAGTTTTAACAGCTGTGCTCAGATAAGGCGACACAAATACCAAATCATTGAAGGATGGGGGATTTAATCCCTTCTTCAACTCTCCTATCTGGGGCCGAAAAACGAACACGTTAATCAAAATTATAAATGTAATTACTCAAACGATAAGAGTCCAACAGGGACTTTCAGATTTACTTGAGGAGACAAATTATGGAGACATGCGAGTGTGGAAGGTGCATATGACGTAAGACACTAGTGCTGGGGGACTGGTGGTGGTGGGGGGACGTAATGTAACAACGATGTTCACTTCGGAAGGCTCAACGGGGATTCACATGCATGATTGGTACAGAACAGTGATTCTGTCTGGCCCGGATTTAAGAAAAACAAAACGGAAGGCCCAACAAGTCAGAGGGGACATGAGCTACTGTGCCGTCTTTGGCTTTATATGTGAGTGGATGAGTGCCGCTAGGAATTGCTAAGAGACTAGGTTACCCTTTGATACAAAATATTAAAAATAAGAGATAAGGATTAGAGTTGAAATTAAGAAAATACTCCTTCCATTCCTTATTATAAGAGACAAATAACCGAAGTACGTTAATAAAAAAAACAGTTAAAATTAGTTAAGAACAATTAATGTGTAAAACGTATAATTTTTTTTTCCAAAAATACCCTCATTAATAAGGAGAGAGAACAATTAAATTATTAAAAGAAAGAGAAGTGGGAAGGGGAAAGAGTGTGAGTTGGAGATAATAAATATGAGTAAAATAGGAAATGAATACAAAAGAGTAGAGACAACTTTTAAGTGTCTCTTATATATAGAAACATGCTATAAGCATCAAATGTCTCTTATAATAAGAAACGGAGGGAGTAATGTTTAGTATAAAAGATTACTTGTTATATGGGATTAGACAAACTCATATATATGGGATTAAAGAATATCATGAGGGGAAGTAGTATTTCCCAATCCTATTTTCACAGATTTGTCTAGTTCTATATAACAAATAATTACTCATATTAAAAACTTTTTTAATAATTTTTTTCAATTAAAATTCTAATTCCCATCTTTTATTTTCAATACCTTGTATCAAATGCTCATGCTAAAGCAAGGAGGTATGCTCACCACTTGGACGCCGTGCTTCTCCGCATGAGTGAAATAAACAAGCAGACTTCCAAGGATAACGGACGTCAACGGCGCCATTGCTGACACCCAAAAGAATTTCGGTCGTCGTTTGCTCTGCGTGGGCCCAATCATTCACACATATATTCCGTGTTAGTTCGTCCGTTCGATGTTCATTTGCCGCCACGTGGCAAAAATTAACACGAAAATTTCGCATCCAAAACTCATGACTCCAGTCAAAGATTAGATTTTCCTCCCGGTCAATGAGAAACAAATCCAGACATTATCCACATACAGATCATTGTACTGGCCAACAAAAATAGAGCGTGTGTGTGCATATAACAGCGACTTACATCATCTTCTTTCTTGAGTTCTACTTTTTCCTTAATATAAAACTTCATTTAATTTTTATTTTGATCTTAAATATAATATCCTAATTCACTTTATTTCTCATATTTATTTATTTATTTTAAGATAATCCTTCTAATAATTATAGTTTTAGCCAATAAAATTAATTAGCAAATAGATTCTCAGAAAGACAACATCTATTTATTACAA